AACAAACAAAAACCAATTATTATTCACATTAGAAATGTGCCTATAGTTATTTTATTTCATACTTATTAAACATATTTTATACAGAAGATAACTGGCTTCTTACTAGAAATCTTACTAGAGATCCATTTCTCTCATCCTGTGTTTTTTATGCCAAACACACACACATAATACATGATATCTTAATTCTAATAACCAGGGTTCTGTTGTTTCCTTTTCTTTTTTGAGTATACTGGACACACAATGCTACATTAGTTTCAGGTGTACAACCTAGTGATTCAACTTCATACGTTACTCTGTGCTCACTGAGCCATCTGTCACCAGACAACACTCTTAAAATATCACTGACTATTCCCTGTGCTGTGCCCTTTACCCCCATGACTTACTCATTCCCTACCTGGAAGCCTGTGTCTCCCACTGTCCTTCACACATGTTGCCCATCTCTCCACTCACTTCCCTCTGGCAACCACATTTGTTCTCTACATTTACAGATCTGATTCTGCTTTTTGTTTGTTTATGCATTTTATATATCTTAGACTCCACAAATGAGAGAAATCATATGGAATTTTGATGACTAGAGCTCTTATTCTACCTCAACCATTTCCCAACTCTACATTTCTGGTCATTTTCACATTTCAAAGACATCATTTTTTTTTCCCGTGAAAGGGGATTAACAGTACCTACACTTCATGTGGTGTAAAGCAGGATACAAGGACTTAGTATTTTTGCTAAGTCCAAGATCCACTGAACATTCATAAAGTGGACATCCTGAGTTTATATCCCAGACTCCAACGTAGCTCAAGGGTGACAAGAGCATTCTGTGGCTTTAAAACCTGATGGAGTCCCTCTTAAAGGGGTATCTTTACAAGTAGACTCCATGACGTGATACAACACACAACCCAGGCAAGAAAAGAGGCCTACGATAGAAAGGACCGGAGATGCCATAGCTAGGGCCATAATCTGCCTGTATGATGAATAACCATATTATCAACACTATCATGAGTCCTTTTTGAGTCTATGAAACAACATGGCCTCCCTCCACGGCTCCTACAGATCGGTCATCTTACTGTTTACCACACCTTGACAAATGCCTGAACTAAGACTTAACCCTCTTACAGAGACTTAATGTAGAGTTAAATGACTGGCAGTTGCCAAGTGTTTTTTTTTTAAAGATTTTATTTATTTGACAGAGAGAGACACAGCGAGAGAGGGAACACAAGCAGGGGGAAAGGGAGAGGGAGAAGCAGGCCTCCCTGAGCCCAATGCGGGGCTCGATCCCAGGACCCTGGGATCATGACCCGAGCCGAAGGCAGACGCTTAACCACTGAGCCACCCAGGTGCCCCTTGCCAAGTGTTTTTAAAACATCATGGAATAGGGCACCTGGGTGGCTCAGATGGTTGAGCGTCTGCCTTCGGCTCGGGTCATGATCCCGGGGTCCCGGGATCGAGTTCCCCCATCGGGCTCCCTGCTCCTTGGGAGCCTGCTTCTCTCTCTCTCTCTGCCTCTCATGAATAAATAAATAAAATCTTAAAAAAAAAAAAAACCATGGAATATACCTGTGAATACATACCTGCCGTTTACTTCTTTTTGGTCTTGGCTTCAAAATAAATTTTGGTGGAGTAATGTGTACTTGTTGAAATTCTAAAAGGAAATAAAAATAAATGAATTCAGTGCATTTCCCAGGTTTCTTTCAGACAGGGCAAAGTTTTACTATCCCTTCCTCATATAAATTGTATAATTATATTCAATTTAGCTATTAACTATTAGCAATTATTATAGTTATTAAAAATTAATATAAATTCATAACTTATAAATTATATAATTATAACTGTATGGTTATAAAGTTTATAATGTATGTTACATTTAAAGATAATATAGAACATTAATCAAAAAAATTGTGTTCATATGAATACTAAATAAAATATTATCATGAATGAAATTTAAAAAATTTATCTCCAAATTTTAATTTATCTCCAAATATTTCTCATATTTTTCCTATGAATACCACCACATTCTTTATCCAGAATCTTCTGAATAGCCAACCTAACCTTCCAAGACTGACCTTCATTAAAGAATGACACACCAAGTGCTGGTGAAGATGTGAAACAACTAGGTATCTAAGATAGTGCTGATGAGAGTGTCAAATGGTATAACCACTTTAAGAAAAAGGTTCAGCAGTTCTCATACAACCGGAGTTCTCAGAGTGCAATCCAAAAACTAAAGACATCAACATTACCTGGGGACTTGTGGGAAATGCAAACTCTCATAACCCATCCACGATGTACTGAATCAAAAACTCTAGAAACTGGTACAGCCACTATGGAAAACAGTATGGGGGCGCCTGGGTGGCTCAGTTGGTTGAGCGACTGCCTTCGGCTCAGGTCATGATCCTGGAGTCCCTGGATCGAGTCCCGCATCGGGCTCCCTG